TCGGGGGGGCCAGGGCGGCGCCTGCAGCCTCTCTTGGTTGGGGTCTTGATGCAGAGCAGGCTTAGCCTTGGCTACTGCTCACCCTATGGTGGTGGTGTCAGCGTTTGTAACCCATTTTCAGCAGCAGTACTGGCAGACAGCCCCTGTCTTGTCAGGAGTGCAGCCACAGCAGGCAGGCGGGTGACACTGATCACCCCTACACCCCTTTTCCTGTTCATCGGTAGCGATCCTTGTCCCCAATTAGTCAAAAGCCATCAAGAGGCCACACATGGGCAGACCTCCTGCCCAGGCCAGCACGGGCTCAGGAGGGGCTTTGTGCTGGAGAGATGCTGAGGTGCAGGGACACTGCTGGGGACAGCCTTTTGGTGAGGCTCCAGCAGGGCAGGATGCTCAGTGAAGGGAGCTCCTGGGGCGGGGGTTTAAGGGACATGCCCTTTTCAATGGTGCAGTCATGCTGGGAAGCTGGAGAAGGTGACTGGAGTGCACCACAGCCACCTGGGGCGTGGGGACCTTGGGAACATCCCAACGCCTTTGTTTTCTCGTCTCTAGTGGGTTTTGCACCAACCCGTCAGAATCTAGTCCATGCTTTTTGGCAGGATGGCTGCCAGGGCCTATGTCAGGCCCAGCGCTTCCTTGGGAGCAGATGGGACACGGTCTGCGCCCTGGCTACCACAAAGCCCGGCTCCTATTCGGCCAAGAACAGCACACAGAGAAGGCCAGGGTCCTTCTGAGAATTTAATTTTCCCCGTGATGCCAGCCACGAAGAACAACTCCCACCTACCTCACTCGACAAGAAAAAGCAGTGACTTCTCCCCAGCTGCTGTCTCAGCAGCATCCTCTCCTTACGCTCCTGCTCCCCCCAGCCCCTGCCCCGTATCCCCCCAGCCCTGTTTCATCTGGAGAAGAGAGGGTGGGTGAGTGCCCGTGCCGGTCTCACCAGCCCCACTGTGGGATCCCCTTGCTCTCGACCGGGATCCCAGGGAGTGGGAGACTGCTCTTGCAGTGCTGTGGCCCAGCCGGTGCAGCCGAAGCAGGGATCGCTGGGGCGGTGTGGGAGCAAGCAGGAGGTGATGCTGTCACCTTTCCGTGCCTCTTCCTGACTTTGTCATCCCGGGGACCTTTGTGAGGATCCCATTTTTATCTGTGTTTTCTCCCTCTCTCTCTTTCTCTCTTGCTTTCTTCTCTCCCCCTCCCGTCAGTATGTGGGCTGATCACTGCTCAAACTTTTAATTCAGATGGTAATTGGAATAATAATACGGGCAGAATCCTTCTGGCTCCGTTGCTGCAGCTGGCTTCAAGGAGCTATGAATAGCTCTGAGTCACACACTGAGATGGTTTAACTTCAAATCATTTTGTTTTGTTTTCATATTACCCATCCCCATGCTCCAGGGCTTCACAGGGGGTGGGAAAAAATCCCCCCCTCTCACTCGACTCCAAAATATAAACCGAGCAGAGGAACGTTAATAAAATCCTCTTCTGGAGGAGAGAAACTGGTCAGTGGATCGTGCCTTGCAGGGCAGATGGGGACTGTTGGCACTTACTCGGTCTATTTATAATTATTGAACGAAATGGCAGAAGTGTGTATATAAAAATGGTATGGAGTTGATTACAGCTTCCTCCCCTCACCTTCCATATGTCACTTGCCTTTTTAATATGGTAAAACTCTCCTGCACGGTGGCTTGTGCCTTCATGCGTGTTTGTCCAGCCCTGCCAGCACAGAGGAGCCAGAGCTTGGCCACTGCCACCTGCAGTGAGGTGGCCCCATGGCACCGAGCTGCCCTATGAGCCCCAGCTTGAACCCGGGAGTATTTGCGAGGGAGAGGATACGAGGTGGAGTTACAAAGACAATGGAGAGGACAAACTGAATGCCATGGGTCTGCAAAAAGCCAAAGGGGTCCCCACTCTGCTGCAGGTCCCCAGGAGGTGAGGGGGCATCTGCCGTGTTGTCACCGTGCCCAAGTCCGCAGGATGGGTCTGTGGATGCTGCTCTCAAATTCAGGCAGTGAAAAGGAATAAAGGCACAAAGTGCAGCACAGCCAGCGGCTGCGGCATTGACCACAGACAGGAGGAAAGCATTTGCCAGACGGCTCCAGATAAAGCAAAGCCTAAGTGTGTAAAAATACCCTGGGATTTTTCCATCAGCGTCGTTCATGGTGTATGTCCCAGAGCACCAGATACGGTTGTTATAAAAAGAGAAGTGGGGGAGTGCTTCGACGTGGACTTCTCTGTTCTGTTTCATGAGACTCTTCCACCGCAATTTTTAAGGAAGGATTGTCAAATCTGATCCGCTCTGGCAGGGGCTGGAGAAAGCCGGGGATGTGCGAGGCGCTGCACCGCGTATGGGGACGGAGCCATGGAGGGGTTGCATCAGCACCACGTGCCCTGATGTTATTATTAGCCTGCAGATCCCTCAGAAAGTGGCAGCAGCGACCTGGCCCCATGCATCTGCTTGGGGCCAAAGCAGTGCCAGGTGGGCTGGTGCAATGGCTTGTGCCACCCTGGAAGGTGGGGATGGCTGTGGCGCAGTGGCGGTGTCCACTGGCATCGCTCAATCTAGGGCAAGTGTTTGGGAAGGAGGGAAGGGCAGCCCAGGCTGCAGGGCTGGAGGTGGCTGTTGGCCCCTGGAGACCCACCTGGCTGACAGCCTCAATGCTGCAAGGCAGGGGCTGCCATGCCCACACTGCAGCAGCTTCCTAAAGTGCTGGGGGGCTTCCTCAGGCCATGAAATACGTGGGTGTTTATGTATGCTGGGGGCGGGAGGAATGGAGAGCCATCTCTTAGGACTGCATCCTCCTGCCCAGCAGCTCCCAGGGTGCCCCCTACTGCACCCACTGGTGGGGCTTCACCCCAGTCCTCAGGAGTCACTGCTGGCTCCCCGGCTTCCTCTGTGCACGTGTGGGTGCCGGAAGGCAGAGTGAGCTCCAGAACAGGACCCAGGGGATGCTCTGGGATTCACACCTCTGTCCTCAGCCAGGCCTTCCTCCCCCCAGGCTGTGCAATAGGCAGCTGCCTGGTCGGGATGGGAATGGCATCCCCTTCTGCTGGAGGCATCTTTGAACCTTCTCCCCTTCATCCCTTTTGTATTTCAAGTTTCCAAGGAACAATGAGGCCCTTTCACAGCCATTTCACTCCTGGTATGGCCTTGGAAGCTCGCAGCATCCATTTTGCAGGCAGGGATGTCAGTGGTGGTCCCGGGCCACCAGCTGCTGAGGAGGAACAGTGGCTATATCACCCCCCAGCATGGCATCTCTAGGAGGGAGTGCTAATATGAACGCCAGCTCGATGCGATGGCAGCCCCCAGCCCAAGACGTCTCTCCTGCCTGCCTGTCTTTCCCGTGGTGGCACCGTGCACTGTGGGGGTGTGTTGGGGTGGAAGTGGTAAGTGGGTTTATTTTCGTTCGTCTCCTGGCTCGTGCCACTCTGATTTTTGTGGTGCCCGCTATTACTAACGCTTCCCTGCGCCAGCTGGCAGCAGGGGATGAATCAGATCGGCAGCAACCGTGACACGGGTGCCTCTGGCCAAAACGCTGGTGGTGCCTCCTGGCTCTGCCCTGGGCAAGCCCTGGCACCAGGATGCCAGCGGCTTCATCTCACTGCCAGAGATCTCAGGGTCTCATCTCACCCTTCCCAAAGTGAACCTGCGAGGTTGTCCCCTCTGCCCCATGCTGCCTGCCCTGGGGCAGGCTGGTCCCTGTTCCAAACGCACGCTGGAGGTCTCAGGTGGCTTCATGAGCCCACTGGCAGCAGCCCTGAGCTGGGGTCAGCTCTGCAGCCACAGGGACCAGACTCATCCTCCTGTGCAAAAACCAGTGCTTTTGCAGTTGATTGGCTCCTCTCCCTGCTGGTCACAGCCTCGCAGCAGGCAGTGACGTCACATGACATCACAGACCTCGGTGGTTCCTGTTCTCGCCAGAGCAAAGACACAGAGATGCCTGGTCTTCCCCTCTGCTCCCTCCCGAACATGCTGGGGATCTAAATTGAGGGATTTTGGTGACTGCCTCCTCCCTCACAAGCGTGGCTCAGGTTGCAGAGATTGTCACACTGCTTGTCAGTGCCACCTGGCTGCGTGACCCAGGCTCCAGGAGGACAATTTGGATCCTCCTGCTTGCTGCAGCCCAGAGTGTCTCGAAAATGTCACAGCTGCGTGGCATCTTTCTGACAAGGGAGATGGACTGGCCAGAACCTCAAAGGTTGGAAGATGACGACAATGATGAAGATGATGACAACAACGAGGAATTCAGCTGCGCCTGCCACTCTGCTCATCCACCACCCCAGTGCAAGAGTCATGACAGCTCCAGTGACAGTCAGGTGGAGGACCTGGGGGAACCCATCCCATTTTCCCTAAGCCCCAGGCACTCTTACACAGTGGAAGACAAAGCAGTGAAAAACAGAACGTATGCTGAGAGGTTGGCCCTGCATGCACTGGAGCTTGAAGAGGAAATTCGGAAGTTTCAGGAAGTGGTTTACGGAGACACAAAAGTGCCTGGCAGCTTGTTTGAAAATGGGGACCACAGCTGGACCAGGACCTATCACCTTCCTGTGCACCAGAGGTCATACGGGTCCCAAACTGCCAGCGTGGCACAGTGTGGCTGCTACAACTCTTCCCAGTGTAGCGTGGGCAAGGACCTGCGGATGGATGGCTTTGACCCGTGGGACTATGTCACTGACCCTTATCTGGGGCCACCCAAGCCCACCAGGGGAGCAAAGCCCTACACGCCGCACAGAGAGGCCATCAAAGACAAGGAGTTTTGGCCCCTGAAGCTGACCCATGACAAGCTCAGAGAGGAGAACGCCATGCTTAGGAGGGTGGTCAGCAGCATGCAGAGCTCCTTGAAGAGACGGGCGTTCGTGGTGCAGAGGCTTGAGATGCAGCTGAAGGACAGCTTGGCCAAAAAGGAGAGGCAAGTCCAGGAGATGGAGTCCTTCATCCTGCTGGTGGATGAGACTCTCCAGCTAATGACCCAGCAGGCTCTGGAGGCAGAAAGCAACATGAAGAAGCTGAAGCAGGAGGTGTTTGCAGTCCAGGAAGAGCTGGAAAGAACTAAATTGGAGAATGAAAGCCTGAGGGCAGGCCAAACGACCGACCTAGGGGCAGTGAGGTGTGACATAAACTTCGTCTTGAAGAACCTCAACAAGATTATAATGGGCACAAACTGGTCCATTGTACAGCTCACTTCTGGAGCAGAGTTGCTGCGTTTTGTTGCTGAGATCCTCAAATCTACTGGCAAAATTTCTGAAGTTGAAGCCCAGAAAGTGCTATGAACTCAATTCTGTGTGGGTCCTATGAATGACTGTATGGCCCCAGACCATGGATCTCCTACTAAAGTCTATACTAAAAACATTTGCTGTCATGTGCTCAGTGTGTGTGTGTGTATATGTTCAGCCTTGATTCTTCATAGAAATGCTTTTCTTGTGATTAAGGACAAATTGCAGGTAGTGACATAGTTTTAGCCACTGATGCTCTCTTCTGGCACTGTGGGGCCAGCAGCAAATATTTCCCAGGCCCTGAGCTGCAAGGCCCAGCCGTGGCGGGCTCTGCACAAGAGTCTGTGCCACGGCTCCAGCTGATGTGAGCTCCCTGCACATACCTGCATGTCCTCTGCTTCCTCTGCCCCTTCTCAGCAAGGTGGGGAAGGTTAGGAGCAGAGGTCTGAGTGCTGCTGCATGTAATTTCAGTGGGCAGAAGCTCCTTAGGTCCTCCTTCCTCTTCTTTTGAAGTTGGCCACCACCTGGGCCAGAAATCCTAAGTCTCTAGAAATGCCCCCGTTCATGCAGCTGGGAAAAGGTGGAGATGGTGGTCAGAAACCTTTAGGAAGCTGTGGGGTATCCATGTGTGAGCTGGGGCAGTGCCTTTCCTTTGGCATCAGTGTCAGTGCTGGCTAAGGATGGGCTTGGCTTATCCAGGCTGGTTGAGTAAGGTGCCAGCTGGAGAGGATGCCCTTCCTCTCCTGGCTGGAGCTGGCACAGAAAGGTGCCAATGCCTAAATTGCCTGCCTTTGTCACCTCCTAAAGACCTGTGGGATCCTGCAGTCCAAACTCACCGTGTGATCTCCGAAGATACACTCTTAGCTTTATCCTAGTGGGACCATCTGTGGACAAGTGACCTTTCTTCATCACCTGGAGAGCCTCCAACATTTCTGTTGAACTTAGGTTACCGACCCCAGTTTCTGCTGGAGGTTTACCCAGCTGCACAACAAAATTTCCCGTATCTGGTGAAACTGACCCTTTTCCTTAAGGACTTGGACGCTGTAGGGTGGTGAAAGGGTAGGTGCTGGCAGCCTTCAGTGTCAAAGTGCTTTTTCCTGATGGGAATTTTTGGGCAGCTGTTCACTTTTACCTCTATATGGTGAGTAAGGTTGCTGTCTTCTACTGGCCCCATAATATCCTTGGTCTAAATAACCACATTTGCGTTGCCACAGGGCTTAAACTGCCTCAGTAACCTTGGTCTCTGGAGGAGAGACTGCTGGTTAATCTTCATCCCAGACATGACAATGACAATGACAGAGCTTGCACATCAGAGGTGATGTCTGGAGATCCTTACTGGTCTGTGCTCCTAACTGGGGAAAGCTGGTGGTCACCCTTAGTCACATGAAAACCCGTCCTGCAACATGGCATGATGAGACAAGGATGGTTCTCACCAGCTTCTCTGTCCCTGACAACATCACTTGCTGATCCTCTCTCCTGTCTGTGCATGACCAGTTGCAAGCAGCTCTAAACCTTGCTTCTGACACAGAAATCCTTTGGTATGTCCCAGATATGGCAACCACTGGTTGCTCATCAGTGGGCCTGGGAGGAAGTGAAGGAGCTGGCTGTGTCTGTGTCCAGCGCTCCGTACTGGCTGCTGTAATCCAAAGGTTACAGTGCAGGATTAGCATGGGTGTACAAAGCCCTTCCTAATCTGTGAGTCATTACCCCCTCGCTCCATTTCACTTTCCAGCAGCTCCGGGCAGGCGGGATAGGTCAGCTCTTGAGTCTCCAGTTTGCCCGTTCTTCAGTTTGGGGAGGACCACATCAGGATGTAACACTCACTGGACATCCTCCCCAGGGCTCTGCTTCGGAGCCACTCCTCAGATGTTGTACACAGGGCATGCCACAAGGTCTGTTTGCTCTTACTGGCTTCTCCTCGGCTTCCCCTAAGCACTTCCCTTCCAGCAATTCTCCCTTTTGGCTCTAAGCATTACTTTTCTTCTCCTCTTTGAAACAGCGTTGGGGGGGTGAAGTTCTGCACCCCTTGGAAATAAATCCCCTTTGGGTCAGGGCTGGGCTGCTGGGGGTCCCTGAGGACTGCTGGGCATGTCTGTGCTTCGTTAGTCCTTGTGCGCGAGGTAATTAGCCTGGCTGAGCTCTCGTCCTAGTGTAAGCTATGATATTAATATAATGGCTCAGGGCGAGGGCCCTGCAAGCTGCTCAGGCACTGTGCCCTTGATCTGGAGAGCGGTGACCGCCCAGCCCTGCACCTCTCCCAGTGGTAGACATCGGGGAGTGTGGGGGCTGTGGGCTGTGAAACGCAGCCTGTGTCCATCGGACACCTCCAGATCCCTCCTGAGCAAAAAGCTGAGAGCCCTGCATGCCCCCCAGCTCTGGGACTGGGACGGATGCTGTCAGGGGAGGCTCTGACTGGGTTTTGCTTCGTCCTTCTCTGCAAGGTGCGTGCCCAGGAGCAGCCGCGATGGCAGCGCAGGTCCCAGCTTGCCGGAGATGAAACCCAGAGCCGCCTGGTCCCATGTGAGTGCTGCTGCATGAGATCCCATGCCCTCCCGGCTCCTGCGGCCCCCTGACCCCTGATGATACAGCGAGCCATGGGCAGCGTCCGAGTCAATCGGTGAGTAACCCTCCTCCCAGGGACTGCTGCTGCCCTGGGTGGCCTGGTCCTCCTCATCTGGCCCCTCAGACCCTACCTTCAGCCCGCCTTTTGGGATATTATTCTCAAATTAGCTGCCGGTGGCTTTCCTGCCCCAAGGTATGGCTCCTCTCTCCTTCTCCAATCCAAAACATGCCATACGTGGGGTCAGGGCTAAAAGGAGTACTATGGAGGAGAAGCAAAGTGCTGCATGGTGCTGAGCCAGAAATTACAGATTCCAACAGCGCTGCAGAAGCCCCATGTCCCCAGCAATCGCAGCTCCAGCCGCCAGTGCTTCCCTCACCATCAGACGAAGATGGCAGTCACAAAACCCATGCTGGAGGGCTCCAGCTGACACCTCAAAACTATGGGGTGGCAGTGAGACACTGCCAGCCTGAGGGGTCCGGGGGGTGGACACAGCTCAGCAGTCACGAGGGCAGAGTGGTCTTGGTGGGTCTGTGCACTCGCTTGATTTCCTTAGCACTCAGAGCATCTTCTGCCATCATGTCTTTAAGGAGTGACCGTGACTGTCCCAGTAGCATGTGAGGGACAGCGGCAGTGCCGTCTGTGAAAGAGAGGAGCCAGAGGGGCAAATGCCTCCCAGAAAGTGTGTGTGAAGCTTCTGCCAGGGAGGCTGCCAGCACCTCGGCTGCTGATCTCCAAATTACACCTTTGGCTTTGGATGCGGGATGCTGGGAGCCACGCATGTTGCTGTGGCAACAGAATTGTCCTGAGTGCAGGGAGTGTATAAACACTGTCACCGACGCACCATGAAATCAGAGAGGAGAGCAGAGGAGAAAATAGAAACTCCCAGCCTTATATAATGTCAGGGCCAAAATGTAGCCAAGCTGCGGGTGCTTGTGCCCAGGCTTCCTGGCCGTCCCAGCTGCCACCAGGCTTCCAAGCCTTGGATCCTTCCTCACCACAGAGTCTGGAAGGTGGCACAGCACCATGAGCTTCTTCTGCTTTGCTGCCCTGTCAGGACTTGGCTAGATACAACCTCCTGGCAGCAAGATTCGGCAAATATTGCAGTCAAGCTCCACTAATTTGGTCAGGGTGCAATAACCAGGGAAATGTACTGTTATGATGTTCAACACTGCGGTACCGTAGCCCCATGAGCCATCCACGTGTCTCCCACCCTCCCTGTCTCGGTGGTTGCCGTTATTCTTCGTTTATTTCTGCTGGAAATGCCTGTTTCTTCTCTTCCAGGTACAGTATCGTCTCAACCGAAGAGGATGGACACAAGGTCTCTGCGCTGGGCAGCATGAATGGGCACAGCCGGAACGGGAAGGGCCATGCCCCCCGGCGGAAGCACCGCAACCGCTTTGTGAAGAAGAATGGACAGTGCAACGTCTACTTTGCCAACCTGAGCAACAAGTCGCAGCGCTACATGGCTGACATTTTCACCACCTGCGTGGACACACGCTGGCGGTACATGCTTATGATCTTCTCTGCCGCCTTCCTGGTCTCGTGGCTCTTCTTCGGCTTCCTTTTCTGGTGCATCGCTTTCTTCCACGGGGACCTCAACGCACCAGTGGTGGGAAGCGGTCCTGCTCTCCTCAAGCCCTGCATCATGCACGTGAACAGCTTCCTCGGGGCTTTTCTTTTCTCAGTGGAGACACAGACAACCATTGGGTACGGCTTCCGCTGCGTGACTGAGGAGTGCCCGCTGGCCATCATGGCAGTTGTGGTCCAGTCCATCGTGGGCTGCGTTATTGACTCCTTCATGATTGGCACCATCATGGCCAAGATGGCAAGGCCCAAGAAGCGGGCTCAGACCCTCCTCTTCAGTCACCACGCGGTGATCTCCGTGCGGGATGGCAAACTGTGCCTCATGTGGCGGGTGGGCAACCTGAGGAGGAGCCACATTGTGGAGGCCCACGTCCGAGCTCAGCTCATCAAACCCTACATGACAGAGGAAGGGGAATACCTCCCCCTGGACCAGCGGGACCTCAATGTGGGCTATGACGTGGGCCTTGATCGTATATTTTTGGTATCACCCATTATTATCGTTCATGAGATTGATGAGGAGAGCCCGCTCTATGGGATTGGCAAGGAGGAGCTGGAGACAGAGAACTTTGAGATTGTGGTTATCCTGGAGGGAATGGTGGAAGCCACAGCCATGACCACGCAGGCACGAAGCTCTTACCTTGCTAGTGAAATCCTTTGGGGTCACCGTTTTGAACCAGTAGTGTTTGAGGAGAAGAACCACTACAAAGTGGATTATTCACGCTTTCACAAGACCTACGAGGTAGCCGGCACGCCTTGCTGCTCAGCCCGGGAGCTGCAAGAAAGCAAGATGACTATCCTACCTTCTCCCCCACCGCCCAGTGCCTTCTGCTACGAGAACGAGCTGGCTCTTGTCAGCCAAGATGAAGATGATGACGATGACGAAGTGGGTGTGGTGTTGGGAGGCAGCACT